TTTATAATCAGTTCAGTAATTATGACATTCTCTTCATACCCACACAAAGCCCTATAAGCAAAGAAAAATTTCCAGCTTACAGCTTCAGAGGTATGACAGACACAGCTACCACAAGAATATGAGGTGACAATTTTAAGTAGCTCCAGGATTGCATTTCTCCTATTTTTTTCCCCCTATGAAGTTCACTAGCAAAACAGCTTCTCGTTCAGAGTCACTTTTGGGTGACTGTCAGTTAATCTAGGAGTTCATTCTGAAGAGTGTTAAGCAGTTGCCAATATCTGGAAAGACAATCAGTAGTACAGACTAACAGCAATGACAGGGAAACAGGGAAATGACACAGCAGGAAACAATGCTAATAAAACCAAGCAGGCAAAGCATCTATGGGAGTAACTTTAAGCATATGTCGGTTTACTAGTCAACCAACTAGTTCAGCAGAAACCCTAGCTGTGTGGTCAACCTGGAGAAGCACAGAAATCCTTGCCTTCCTTGACCTCCCACAGTAGCTGCAAGGTAGAGACTTCTCTACAGACCAGAGAAGCCAGCAGTACCACTACTTAACATTCAAACCACCTTTTTCTTTTTGAAATTCACAAAAAAGAAGAAATACAAATATTCGGTGTGCAGAATAATAAAACTGCATTTGCATTTAGGGCCATACCTCATGAGGAAGCACTTGTGTTTTCATTATGGAGAACAAAATTCTGTGCATTCCAGAGCCAGTGTGGTGTACTGGTCAGAGTGCTGGATGGAGGATCTGGGAGCTCCAGATTCCAGTCCCCGCTCAGTCATGGAGCTGTGGCTTTGGGCTTGTCAGACTCTCTGCCTAACTTCCCTAAGTTGCAAGATGTGAGAATAAAATTGGAAAAAGGGAGAGGATTATGTAAGCTACCTTGAGTTCCTTGAAAGGAAGAAAGGTTGGCTATAAAGACGATAAAATATTTCAAAATATAAACATGGTTACATAGTAGTAAAGATTAGGGCTACAGACTCATCTTTTAGGCATACAATTTGCAAGATACTGTTGCTAAAGCAGTTCCATCTCACCACAACTGTGCATAGAATGTAATTAGAAGACATTTGCTATAAGGTTAGGTTTAAGAGAAAATAGAATGACTGACATCAGCATTTGCAAAAAGTATTAGTGCCAACCTTGGGGAGGAGGTGGGGGGAGACCTATCTGATCTTTGAAAATACACAGCAATGATGACTCAACAGAAATCTGAAAACACAAACAATTATTCAGCTAAATGTTCTGTTCAAAGGGGGTCTTCTACAAAAGTATGCTTGCCACTGTATACATTATTATTATTAAAAGAATATTTTAAAACCATCAGAATTTATATAGCAAGTCACTTCAGAAGCACCCAGCTGATTCAGGGGAAATTTGAATAATTAAGAAAAAGCCACTCACTCACACTCCAGTGGATCATACAGGAACTGCCAATTTTAGAAAAGAAAAGATATGGATCAGGGAGAGTAAGAACAGAAAAACAGCATTACTGCTGGAGACCATCCCTAAGACAATTTGGACTATTTCTTTCAAATAATTCCAAGCAGTATTTACATTGTATAAAAGCAAATGTTACTTATCCAACCAGTAGAACTATCATTAATCTTGCTAGATAAATCACTAAAAAGACGAGCATTTAAAAAATCATGGAAGTAGCTGAGAGCCCAAGAGGGCTTAACATTTGCCTTTCTTGAACAGCAGCAACCCATACTGTGTCACAAGCTGGCTTGGAAACAGCAGGGAGTATCAAAAGCAGTTTGGAATACGGCAGAGGTCAGAAGAAGCGGGGGAGAAAGCAAGTATCTCACTGGGGTAGTCCAAGCCCACTGTGTAAGACTAAGCAACTCTTTCAATTCCAGCATTAAAAGGCAGTTTTACTAAGTCTGTATTACACTGTATTTCCCTTCAGCTTCTTTCAGAGCTGAATAATTACAACCTAATGCCCCTACAAATACTAGCCGTGGTCAGTTCATTCCCAGTTGACCTGCATTATTTATTTAGATAGCAGGACCATATACTAATTTCAACAATTCAGTAAAGTTTTCCTAATTTTACTTTTAATTTCATTAGCGAAATAATTTGCCAGTGATACTCAAAGCCCTAGTTAAGAGCTTGAGCAATCCTATTTAGCAAGCATTTTATCCTAGCTGCAATTAAGCCCTCATTACCAGAAATGCTTTGTTTTCAAAAGCCCAGCAGGTTTTCTGCCATGTCAAACTTATTTGGAGTTAGCTTTGCAAATTTGCCAAAAAAAGGGTGGGAGGGGGGAGAGACTTAGCAAGATTAAGATGTTTAAATTATGGAATGCTACAAGAAAAGAAAACCAACTTCTTTTAAGCCCTAAAGGCCATGCTAACACCAAGCTGATGCTTCCAGGGTAGGGAGAGTGACAGGCACCGATTCTTTTTAGTTTACACAGCAAGCCTGGATGCAAACTGTTCCTCCTATGAAAGCTGTTCAAAGGCAGTGATATTCAAAAAGTATCATTTCTTCCCTACAAAAACCAAGAGCTTTTTCCTTTTATTGGTGACATTCAGCACCACAGTGGACACAGCTACCGACAGTGGTGAAAACACCTGCATTCTGATAATGCCTGTTAAAAGGGGACATTCACTAGGCCTAGATTAGCAGAAGCTAACCAAACTAACCATTATATATTACCCCTAAAACCCACAAGAACTAGTGAAGATCAGAGAAGGCTAGTAGATTAAGAAAAAGGATACTTATATGCAAGTTCTGCAAGTAATAGTCTGTGTAGTATCACAGCTGGTTTCAGCTCCTACACAGAGTACCTGCACAACCTTCTAGGTCCCTAGTCAAAAAGCGGCAGCACCTGCCCTCACTCTTAAGTCAGATCTGTCATTCCAGCACATGCTTCTGGGGGCAGAATTATATTTATTATTGCATTTATATACCACCCATCAAGGTAGTTCATGAGAATTCAAAAAACAAGAATAGTAAACAAATACAGGCATAGTAAAACATTAACAATAGCCTTTAAGACCCGTAACAATTTAAAAAGCTAGATTTTAACAATTCACCGAGGCCCTTGCAGAATGCAGAGAGAAATAATTTTGTGCTTAGTTTCTCCTGCCTGAAAGTCCTCAGAAATGTAAGACACCAATAACAGCAAAAGCATAGGGGATGTGTGCCTCTACACATGACCACTTAAACACTAGCGACAGGTGAATAGTTGTCTTTCTTCTTCAGCGAAGAAACAATTAAATGACTGGGCATTCCCGAAACATTAAGCAATCACCACCAAAGGTTCTACAAAACGATCCCTCCAAATCTGGCATCTGAACAAGCTTTCATATGTAGGACATAACAGGCTGAACAAACAGGGGTGACATAGGCCACGCTATCAGCATTACAACATTCCAAAATGAAGACAGGCCTGCACTATCCAAGAAAGTTGCAACCACTCTTGCCCGGACTTCCTTACTTCATTTATTTTTATTTTTTAAATTATATTCTGCTAAATTGGTCCAGGGGCCCTCTAAGTGGAATATTAATGTGGTGCAGTCCAGACGTTTTGGACTGCAACTGCCGACATTCCTGATCATGCTGCCTGAACTGATGGGAGGTGCAGTCCAAAACGTCTGGAAGGCCCCAGGGCAGGGCAAGCTGCTCTAGCAGAACACCCCTCTACATGTGCGGGGACACTACTAGTGCCATCAACCTGCCCCAGTGAAGATTTATATCATATTGAAAGGGCTACTGGGAAAGCTATGGAACTTCTGTATTGTTTTATACATATTCATATACTGTGATTATTCCAGTTACTAAAGTGTTGTTTTGATGCCAACAGCAGTTTTAACAAGACATGGAAAAGTTAATATTTCTCTCGCTGATGTCACGGAGGAAGGAGGCAGGTATGTTTAGCAACAGTTGACTGAACTTGAATGTAAATATAAACAGAAGACTGTATATACAAAAGGGATGCAATTTGGTATCCTACCCCAGCCAGTTTTAAAAAGCATTCCTATCCAACCAGAGTTCAGCTATTTTACATCCCACTAATTTCAATAGGTAACACAGGTGCTGTGGAGTAAAATGTACATGATACTATCACATAAGAAGCCTTCACAAGATGAGCAGTTTGATCGCCCCCCCCCCATGTCAATATGAGAAAATACAGTCACTCAAACTGTCTTTATGCATTTGAGAATCAGGTGTAGCAGCATGAGTGGGCTCAGCAAAAATGCTCGCTTTCCACTTTCATGCATCCTTTAATGCTAAGAGAGGTAAAGGTCCCAGGCAAGCTGTATTCAACTGACACAATGGAAGAACTTTTACAAGACACACCATCACTATTTCTCAAAAGACACTGAGAAAAATCAAACTGTTTCCACCTCATCAGCCAACAGTAGAGACGGAATATATGCATTTAACACCATGAGGGGACGCAAGTAAAGCCTGAGCTTAGACTGAGCCAGGCTCTTTTGTTACATGATTCAATAGGAGAAGGCACAGTATTCTTGTAAATCTGCACACATCCCTGACCAAGTGAGACAGTAGACAGAGTCCACTGTGTGACCTTGCAATCTTTTATTTCCCAAAGCCCTTTCCTACATTTACTTTTGACTAACAAGCATATTAGGACAAGGGGAGACAGCTATGGGCAGGTGCCTTTGTAAGGTCTGGCAATGCTTTGCCATCTGCACACCATGTGCTTCGAAGCATTTTCAGAATGCAAAGGAAAAGCTCATGAGGATCTAGCAGCTTTGTAGCTCAGAAATCCAGAAGGACTTTACCTTCAAAAGCTAGAACATAAAATATTTTCAGGAAATATGAGTTTATGCAGCTCCCTCATCTGTATTTGGACAGACGAGGTTTCATAAACTATCATCTCCCAAAGCCAACAGAAATGGCAAATAGAATTTACAGTATAATACGTTCAAAATCTGAATTTCTTACACTGTGTTTTGTGCTAAAGGCAATGCCTCTCCTCTAGAAAGAGTAGTTTAAAATTTCCAACATATTTACAATAAAAAGTTAAAAAGAAAACCCTTTAATTTACATCAATCTATTCAGTGCACGCACTTCATATAAGGTTTCAATATGTGGATTAGTCAGTTGTGCTGATTTTAATTAGAACCTATTTATCAGTTGCCTTAACACTCAAGTTGCTTTACTGCATTCTCTGAAAGTACACAGCTTCCAAAAAGGAATAGCCGATTCCTGGGAATCTTTTATCAGTTTCAACTTTTTTAAAAGTTGAAAATTGTCACTGTAACTAGCCACCATAAAGATAAAATATGTCCTTAGCAGAGTGTATGTGTATACTTAGTTCATACATAAGCAGTACTGCATGATTATTACATGGCTTTAGAGTTCTTGTGATTATTCATCAAATTGCTTCTGCTTCATGTAACTGGAAATCTGGAACCTCTAGCATTTTTCTCCATTTTAAATTTTTGATTCAGACTGGTTTTTTGTTGCAAGTATATTCTGTTCATCTTCTGTAGGAGTATCAACTGGCACCTGTAAGGGAAATGAAATGGAAAAAAACCTGACAACTAATTCAATCAACAATTCCTGAAGAGGTTTGCCTAGAAGTAATTGAGGCTATCCCACCAGCTCTTAAGTTTGGGAGGCTACAATAATCATAATTTTAGAAAACAAATTTAGTGGAAACAATCTCTTATAATTATTAAGTGGAAGAGGTCCCTCTCCAACTTCCAAGGAAAATGCGGAATGATGAAGTAAAACATCCATATCTGGTTTGAATTACTAGTTATTCCCGTCTAAAACTTGCATTATTCACACTAGTAACATGTTAAAATTGGTGTCAAGGCATGGCCACAAAGACAGAAGTGTTGTATATTGTGGAGAATACTGACTTGGGTCTCAGTTCTCTGACGATTCATATTTTTGTAGTTTATTTACATTAGAATAGTTACTTGTATGTTTGGTATTATGCTTATATTGTTTCATCTGTAAAGCAACTGGTATACAAGATGAAAACTTTTCTGCAATAAAAACACAATCAAAATCATGTTATTGACATTGCTGCTTTTGTTTACCAAAAACATGACACAGCTTTCTGTTGCCTATGCCCACAAGCTGGCTATCTATGCACTGGAGTAAGAGGCCCAGAAAAGTGACATGTAGAATTGTCAGTTGTTAGGCAAGCTTTCAAATCACCGTTATGACCTGGCTTGCCAGTTAAAATGCAACACAGCTAGCCAGCGAATGCTAACGTTATTACCCAGAAGTTACTCAGATTATTTCAGTGGGACTTCCATAGGATTGGGTAGAGAAAGTGTAGGTAAGTCTTTGAATTGTTCACATCATAGATATTCAAATCTAGAAGATATTTTATTACATTTCTAGGAGGAAGGGCTTTGGAGGGTCAGGTGACCAGTTGCAGGTTCTCTAGGCACAGATTAGCTCGCCCTTCCCTTCAGCATTCCCCAAGCATTATAACAAAGAGGTTCAGGAAGAAAAAGTAGGCAAGCTTGTACACATATAGAAGATGTGCATGTCATGAGCAGAGTTGGCTGGAGCTGGGGGTCAGACTAGATGGCCCGGGAGACCCCTTTTGACTCATTCTGTTTCTATGATATTCCAGAGAGAGAAAGTTATATAGGAAAAAATTAAAGGAACAAAGATTGGAAGCTCCAGAAAAAATACTCAAAAGTACATAAAGTTTCATTAAATAATGGGAAGCTGAGCTTGAAATGTAATTTGTTACTCAAGGTAATGAAAACTGAAAAATCTCTGTGATTAATAATACCCAGTGTCAGGTATTAGTGACTAATCATACCAGCAAATTAAGAGATCAAAACTACTTACAGATTTAATGTCGACAGTTGTAATTCCTGCATTCACATTGTGCCGTCGCAAATCAGATTTGATTAAAGCTAAAGAAAAGGAAAAGAAAAAATACTGCATGTAAAGCCCAACACATTCACTGCAGTAAGTATTCCATAGGATAAATATGCTACTCTTTAAGGTACTGTACAACTGTTTTTGAAGCCCCAGACTAATATGACTCCCCATCAGCATAATGTATGATGCCTGCCCTATAGTTCGTTCATTTTTTCTGCATTTGTTACATTTATATTTCATGGTTCCTCCAAGGACCAAGCACAATGTACATGATTCTCTTCTCCATTTTATTCTCTTTCATTCTCTTCTCACAACAATCCTGCAAAGTAGACAGACTGGCCCATTGTTATCCAGTGACTTTCACTGCCAAATGGAAACTAGAACCCAAATCTCCTGTGCCCTATCCAATACCCGTTAACATGGACTCTCTAGTTGTTTTCAATCTTCAAATTATGCTTTTTAGAGAAGTTCTAGGTTGAAACAAGTAGCAGTAACAAGTAACAACAAGTTGAAACAAACACATGATCCATTTATCAAAAGTGCCTAAAACAATTGGAAAGGTTCTTTCAGTCATGCATAATAGTAGGGAAAACCCATGGGTATTTAATAGCAGTCTTCCTGGTGCAAAGTAATTAGACCTGTTTTAACTAATCAAATTGAGTAAACCAACTAATTGAGAGCATCTTACAGACCACAAATTATCCATATTCCATTTACACTATATTCTTTCATGTAGGCAAGAATGTACTCATTGAATACTCCAAGCACAGAAGGATACATGAAGTCAACCATAAGTAAGCTTTTGTGGGGAAAGAAAAATATTTAAATTCTTTTCAGTAAAGATGAGGATACACACAGTAACATTTGCCTTAACAGAGAGAAGCATCTTGACCACAGTCCAAATAGCCAGGTTCTTTGACACGGCCATCTAACATGCGTTTCAGGATTTCATTTCTATTAATGTGATAAACATTGTCTATATTATATAATTGCTGAATACTGAAAGGCAGTGAAAATACGTAAAAATATGTATCTAAAATCACAAACTCCTCTGCAGCCATAGCAGAATAAAGCCAAGTTTGGATACTGAACTAGAACTAGAGTTTAAGGTCAGGAAAGAGCTATTACAACCAGGCTCTCAATTTAGTATAGTACCCCTTTAGATTTAAACCTAACAATCATGATAGGTTGGACACGACTTCGCGACTAACAACAACAACGGTCACCCTAACATTATAAAGATTCAGAAAGAATGTGTACAAGGACATGCCAAGCCCACACAAGGACACTATTAGTCCCTTGTATTGCCAAATTAGGCCTTAGTCTGATTTCACGGAGAAGTTTCTTTAAATCTGTAATTTCATATTGACTAAACTGATCCACACACCCAAAGAATTCTAAACTACAGGCCTACTTTAGAAGAAGAGCAGAGGCTAAATCCAAATTGCATAAAGACCCAAAAGTCTGCCTGGTGAAAGAACAAAAGTAAGGATGCATTCAAGTGACACACCTACCCTACTTTTTGGAACCTACTGCTATCAGTTATTTTTCCAATTCAGTTGGCGCTGTAGTGGTGTGTTAATGTTGTTGCTGGCCTTGCTAGGTATCACAAGTGTCAAACAGCTCTGTTAACCTAAAAAATCCACCATGTCCAGGGATCTGCTGCTGCCATCAGTGTTCCTTACTGGCACATTTGTCTGGATAGCAGCCAATAGTCCTGGTAACATATTTCTTTAATTACATCCCATTTTACAATCTAATTGGATCTCTTTTTTAGGCTATTTATGTACCATTTTCTTCCTACCCCCACTTTTCCCTTTTGAAGTAAAAAAAAAAGCTAAGCAACCTGTTGCTTTATTGCTGTTTTTATGGATTCTCCACAGCTTTTAAGATCTTCATTTTTTACTCATGCTCATTCATTTTATGATACATTCATGTTTTATTCTTGTATTTATTCTATTTTTTCAATAGAAATGTTTAAATGTTTTACACGAATAAATACAGAATGACTCAAACCCCTGAGCAGGACTGTAAATTATTCACTATTTTCCAGTAAAACATAATATGGTTATTGATTCAAGATAGAAAGCAAAATGAGTACCTGTTAAAATGATACCTATAAACATCCACACAAAGACAAAAATATTTCCAGCACGGGGATTGTAATCTGTTGTAAGTTTTCCTTGAACCAGTGTAAAAATAATTCCAAATATCTGTAAAGGGTCATAAGAAGGAATTTCAGATTCTCATACAGAACATGTGTACTTTTCTACAGTGCAGCTTGTTACAGATAACTCATGGTGTTTATTCATTGTTGCACCAACATCATTATCAGGTCTGCTGAAATAATCATTTAATTCTCCCCCCAAATTGTTTCTGACCATTATAAAAACTTCGTAACTCTAATAACTGGTTCCTGAGCCTGTTTTTCTTTTTTCCCTTCTCATTCCTTGTTCCTTTGTCTTTTAAATTGTAAAGATTAGGGCAAAAACTGACTGCCTTTTTTGTTGTTGATCTTATGTAAGTAGCTTTGGAATCCTTTTGAACTGAGAAGCAGAGTTTTTAAAATGGGTTAAACAAATAAAAGCAAAATGATCCCTTTCTATTAACTTAGTTCACAAACTACAAATGCTGCAGTTGCTTTTGTTGTTAAGATAATACCTTATCTTTGCAAGTTTTGTTTTCTTTCATGCTGTTCCGATGGGTTTTCATTTACCCACCACTCTCAAAGGAGAGCACAGCACATTCTCAGCATATTGAGATCACAGAGCTAATTTCTCATGGTGTAGATTTATACAATTATACAAAGGGGAAAGTGTCCCACAGTCTGAAGACTGCTTCAAATAAGGACTTGGCAAGGTAAAGAGTCACTTTGCATTCCAAGAAGAAAAGGCAGGAACATGAGGAAGGGAAGCTAGACTAGACTTGCATGGCCCATATGGGTTGTTGAGATTATTCCACTGCCCCCACCTCTTACATGATCCTTTGTTTATTAAGAATTCCATCAGATTGCACTCATGTAGCAGCTTGTGGCACATGCATACAAGCTTCCAAATATTCTTGGAATTGATGTTGCAAGCGAAAAACTCTGTGTATCAATGACCTGTGGGACTGGTTTTCAGATGAATACCTTTAAAAATTCCCTTATTTTGACCAGCTATATCAAGTTTCTGTAAGAGTAAGAAATAGACATACTCGTATGCTGCCCAATTACAGACTGAAAACTACCTGAGCTCAGAACTGAGTGATAATTATTCAGCAGAAAACATCCATCAATACCTGTGCTGAAGCATTCAGAAGCCCTGATGAGGTACCTTCTGATTCTGGGTATGTAATTTCCACAGCGAATTCAAAACCAAGAGGGAGATAACCAGTCATGAAGAAGCTAGCATAAAATCCAAAGATAAAAATAACAATATTTTAAAGACAATTGTATGTGTTATCCAATAAAATTTATTACTACTCAGTTTATCTACAGTGTATTATCCACATATATCTGCAAGGAATAATATCCAGTTTTGAAAACCAATGCTTAAGGAAATGCATTTTCCACTAGAAAGTTCAAAGCTCTGATCGTATGGCCCCAAAATGTCTTAGGCAGAGGGTCATGGGATATAGATTCAAGGGCAGGAAGATAGCTCTGACCTCAGAGCTGGGAATCCATACTCTGATCCTCCCACTGCCCACAATCAGCACATAAAGAACTGTGTCAGCTGCCCTTTGAAGGTTAGGAACTCAATCTCTGAGAGGCCTTAAAAGGGGTGTTCCAGAAGACAGGCAGGAAAGAAAACTGCAGAGGTCAGGATATGAGTTATCCTTTGTCCTCTTTATTCTTCTTCCCTCCCCCCTATGAAGTGCACACCTAGGAAGCCAAAAGCACCCATCTCGCTGAAATACAGAGTGGGAGGTACAGAAAAGGCATAATAGCTCCCACTGCTCCTCCTGCTCTGCACAAGATGCGTGTAAGCTCTGGGGGATTGTTAACACTGCAAGCTCAACCCACTGGACTGGGCCTTCACTTCACTTCCTCAAAATAATACATTGGCATATTTTATCAATAGACTCTGAGTATCCTTACCCAAGTGCACCACCAGTCACAAATACAGCTATAAGATGTCCACAATCCAAGGTGAATGTAAATACAACCATCCCAACAAATGAGAGGATATACACAATTAGTGTAGTTTGCCTACAAAACACAGTGCAAAGTTAAAATAAGCAATCACAATCCTGGCAAAGACAGATCACAATACCATTATTCTGTTGGCTACAGTTTAAACCAAACATTCAAACACAAATGCACAGTACATCTCAATAACATTTGTCTCCCCTTGTCTCAGGGCAGACAGTCTTGTATAATATGCAATCCATACATGTCTTTTTTCCATTTCCATCCTTCAGAATTTGCAAGGTGATTATAAGTTTTTAAAGATTATGGCACTTTAAGTTGCCCCGCCCCCCATCTTTGGACCACCCTCCTTGTTTCCAGATCAAGATAACTCTTTATATGGAGGCCTTTGAAGATTGCCTTGGTTATCAGGATTAAATTAAAAATGCTCCAGGAGGCTAAAGGGAATGGGGGTTTTGGTCTTCCTAATTGAATATTGTATTATCAAGTCTCTGTTTTAATGTGGCTAAAAGAATAGATAACTTTAAGAAATAAGAGAATCTTGTAATCATGACTTGCAAATAGGTTGGCATGCTTATATGTGGAATGAAAAGTGTAAGGTACATGGTTGTTTCTTAAATCATTATATTAGGAAATCACTAATGTCGGTGTGGGAAAAGCTAAAGACAAAACTGTATACTAAATTACCAAGATGGGTTTCGCCTGTGGAAGCTCTCATGTATCCAAATGCACTGAACTTTAATATGATCATGGGATATGATGATATTTTGGATAATGATGGAGGATTAAAATTGAATCAAGAAATACAAGAACAAGGGAGTTAATATTTCTTGGTGGCACAAGGTTCAAATGCAAGAGATATGCCAAAGATCATAGAATGTGGGGCTTCTATAAGGAGTCAACAGCATTTGATCACGTGATTCTTAAATCTGAGGAGAAAATGATTAAAAGATTGTACAATTTCCTGCTAGAGAGGAGAATGGAAGATGAACAGGTTAAGGAAACTATGATAACATGGGCACAAAATTTTGGATATAATATTTAGAGAAATGGCAAAAATTGTGGGAAAGAAATATTAAGGTAACATTAGCAACTTCATATAAAGAAAATTTGTATAAAATGTTTTATAGATGGTATTTGTCGCCAAATAAGTTAGCTAATATGTTTCTAAATATGTCAAATAGATGTTGGAAATGCAAATACAAATCGGGTACGTTTTATCATATGTGGTGGACTTGTGATAAAGCAAAAAAGTATTGGATTAAAATACACAAATAGTTTGAGGAAATGTTACAAAAACCTTTAACATTTAAACCTGAAGTTTTCTTATTAGGCATTGTACCTGATGATCTTAGTAAACAAGCAATGTATTTGACTCTACGTGTAACCACTGCAGCGAGGATTGCATTGCCCAACACTGGAAGAGTGAAGAGCCACCTACTGACGAACTGATTCTAAAAAAGATCTTGGACTGTGCAGAAATGGACAGATTGACTTTGTCTCTGAGGGAGGAAGAAGATACAGACTTCTATCAAACCTGGGATTCTTTTTATTATTGGCTAGAGAAATGGGACTATGCATAGACTTAAACATGTTTATAGTTTAACATAAAAGGAAAAAATGTGGGGGGCTGACCCAGTAGGTCTGATGTTTTTGATGATTGATGCTTCTTAGTTTCTTTTTGTTAGGTATATTAAGAATAAAACCTATTCCAAAAAAAAAAAAAAAAGATTGCCTTGGTTTTCCAGAGGTCTAAGAGGATTATTTAAGCAATTCTTCTTGGCTTCTTGGCTGGGTCTTTTTACTGTTTTTACTGTATTTTACTTTATATTTAAAGTTATTTTGAATGAATTTTAATTTCATATTGTTGTTTTTATGATATTCTATTGTATTCTATTGTTTTGTTTTATGCATTGCTGTAAACCACTCAGACAACTTCAGCTATAGGACAGTATACAAATGAAATAAAGGGGGAAAAAAGATGGAGGGAGGGGAGAGCAGGGTTTTTTTTTTTTTTTAAGGCAACACAGCAAGATAAGGTGCCAAGACAATTACTTATCAACACATATGTCCTCTGTTAATAAGCTGCCTTAACCTGTCATTTGTGGGAGGCACACCATTAATGTGGGTGGTTGGCAAATCTCCTTTGAAAAAGATTGAAATGAACTGTGGCTTCTGAAACCAGAAACTAGTGTCCCAGTCCAGCATTCCTCTTCCCTTGCTCTTGTTCCAAGTTGGCTTTGGTGCAAAGATCCTGGTTTAAGCCAGAGTTCCAAGGCTAACAATACTGGTTTAATGTCAGTTAACCAAGCAAGAAAGTATGTCAGGATGCGATTCTGGTATATTTTTTTGGATTATTAACTATCATTAAGTCAGATTTCCCCAGGTTGGCTATAGCTTTGAATATGAGCCAGCATGTTGAGGCCAGCATGCAACAGGACAGTCATCATGCTCAGCTCAATGGTTTATGAAGCCTCAGATGATCATCTGAACCAGGCTTGTGGCTGCATCCTGCTATGGTTCTATACAGCCACAGCAGCAACGGAAATGGATTAAGCATCAAGGAATCCTTTATGCTTACAGTGTAGTTGGTCAGTTGACTTCCCAAGAGATGAGATTTTTACCTCACAGCTTCATCAGTATGCATTATATTCTGAAACCCAACTATAAATATATGCAGAGCAATCCCCCAACCAAACAGCAAGAAAAATACACTGCATACCTTATTTGATCAGTTGCTAGCCAACCCCCCTACTCTTTACCCCATAATTACAGCAAATAATCTAAATACATTTTATTATTTGCTTTTCCTACTCACAGACTTACTTGTATGTTTTGGTGTGATCGAGCCACAAGCCACAAATAATTGAGCCCACCATTCCAGCTACAACAAGGGTCAGTCCAATCCTCCCTGCATTTACTTCTTCTCCCTTTGAATAATATAGTTATGGAAATATCTATAAGCAATGCCTTCTTTATTACAATGTATAAGTGTATGTACTCACTCTAAGAAAATTAAAATCACAGCTATCACTTCTGTAGTTATCACAGATAAATACTACTACACAGTGCTTTTTTGGTAAAAAAAAAAAAAAAAGGTGCCGAAACTCACGTCTTGGGGTCACACTTTTACACAACGGTCGCCACCGGCAGTAAGCACTCACATGACCATGGGCTGAACAAGCCACTTCCAAGGGCCACCTGAGGCCCAGACTGGAGGGTGCCCTCTTGTGCTTTAGAGGCATAAACAAGCCCTGTGCCACTCTCTGAAAATCACCTTGTGTAAACAAACGGGGGGTGGTGGGCGAGGCAAATGGGCAGCTGGGCGCTCTTATGTCCTCTTGTATCAGGGCAAAATGGCGGAGGTGGTGGACCAAGGGAGGGAAGGCTGCGGCTTTCCAGGTGATCCTGGACTACAGTTCTCATCTTCCCCCTCCATTAGCAAGCTTGTCTCAAACTAATGGAGCCCAGCAACATCTGGATGGCCACAAGCAAACCGCCCCCCACTGCAGAGTCTCTCAATTGGCTGGGCTCTAACATTTCAGACTGCAGGGCGGGTTGTGTGCACGAGTGCAAGAAAGTGAATGTATGGCTGTTCCCTTGCATCATTCTCAAGCTCAGAGTACAGCAGAAGCACCTGCAGCCTCCCCCACACACACACCCTTGGACATTGCTGGGCTATAATTTCCATCAGCCACAACCAGCCTACCCACTGGCAAAGTAAGATGGGAGTAGCAATTCCCCAGATCTGGAGGGTTGCAAGTTCCCCAGCACGGGGCAAGATCTTCTCAGTGTGGCCTCCACCCATTACGGTTCTCTCTGGGAGTGAAATGATTTCACCTCCTGCAAAGGAAATGCTGCCCTGGGAGGGCTGCAGGCGCTCCCCAGAGACTGGCCGTCTGGATGCAGCCTGCAAGGCCCAAGCCGCCAGGATGGGGGAAGGTGAGGAAGTGGCCCTCATCCACAGACAAGCGGGCTGGGAGCAGACCCGGGCAGAGCAAGCGGGCTGTCCCGGCAGGGAGACCGCGAGGCATGGAAAGCAGAGAGTAGGGGAGGCGGCTGTTTATTGGAGAAGAGGTCTGGGCCCCACCGGGGCGGGAGACAGGAACGCCGACAGGGAAAAGCTTCAGGAGGAGAAGGGGAGAGACCACGGCAGCACAGACAATCAGCACCAACACACAAGCAGCCCGCAGGCACTATGTTAATGATTTTTGCTGCTGATCTGCTACGCCCAACAGGGCGATTCACAATCACTTGGAAAAATCTGTCAAGAAAAGGTGCCAGAATGCTGTTCCGGTGCGTTCTATGACAAAAAAGCCCTGCTACTACATACTTTCATACACTTATTAATTCAGAGTAAAATGACAGCCAATGAAACAAATATAACTAACAGAAGGCCTGCAGAACACTGCCATAGATTTCACTTTATAGTTTGTAAATTTATAGGCTTCCTGAATAACTCTGAACAGACTACCCCATTAGAATTAAAAAAAATAAAATAAAATCACAAAAAAGTGAAAGCAGACATTGCCCAAGTCTCCTAGACTCCCAAATATTTAGGAGATATTCGCAGAGGCTAGATGATGTACTTGCCTGTCACTTCCAGTGCCCCCCAAGACCACAGCGCCATCTTTTATGCCTACTGGTATCCACAGATCGACCCCTCCCTCCTGTTTATTATCCCACTGTTGCTCCAGCTTGGAGCTCAGGACAATATAGCAAGACATGATTCACATACCTAACCACGGTTCTCCCACATCCTATCTTTTTCAATCCTGAGTAAAATGACACCAAGACCAATTTTAAAATAACCAGGACAGGGGATCCTTTGTTTAGAATAAATCATTCAACATAAACTTACCACATAATGAGTTACTATCATTTGGTTTAGTAGAGTTGAGACTGAATAAAAGATCCCAGTCATAATTCCTACAATGAGATAATGAAAAGCATTGCTGTGGCTACTGAAACAAAATCAAGTAAAACAGATTTTTTAAAAAAAACATAGAGAATCAGAAAGGCTTTCCCAGACCATCTAGTCTGACCAGCTGGCTCCTCTCATGACATTCTTACCGTGTGCATGTCCAGCCTATCCTTGAACTCCCTCACCAGTGGGGCTTCAACCACCTCCTTTGGAAGTCTATTCCATACCAAGGGGTCCTAACTGTCAGGAAGTACTTCCTGGCATCCAAATTGAACCTTGGTTCCCTGAGCTTCACCCCACTGGAACACATCTGGTCCTCCTCTGCAAGGGAAAACAGGTCTCTACCTACCTCCATGTGACATCCCCTCACATACCTGTATGTCACCAACAGATCCCCTTGGAATCTCCTCTTCTCCAGGCTGAAAAGACCCAGTTCCCTCAGTCTCGCCTCATACGGCTTTACCTGCAATCTGGGCACCATCCTTGTGGCCCTACGCTGCACCAATTCTAACCTGCCTATATCCTTCCTGTAATGTGGAGCCCAGAAATGAACAATATACTCCAGCTGCAGGTGCACCAGAGTCATATAATGTGATAGTAATACCTCTCTTGATCTAGAAGCCACACTTCTAGAAGCCACATACAAAAACTCGCTATATTTTTAGCATCCAAAATTCAATCCATCCTTCTTTCAGATCTGTGAAGAAAGGAGGCTGCAAATGAACCCTCTACCAGAAGTGCCTAGACTCACCCCAAGCCTTTTATCACTATCACTCTAGCCATCTCCAGATCAGCTCCAAATCAAGTAAGGAAACCAGAGTCTGGAATCCTATGAGACAATGACCTGGTTTGGACAACCCACCCCACCCTTGTTCGTTATCACGGGTGGGTTGTCATGTCATGAGAACAGGGGCTGCTTCAACAAGGGTGGGTTGTGTCTCCAAGGGTGGGCTGCCCTTGGGTTGTTGCCACCCATGGTAAGTTGTTGTGTTGCTGCTGCTTGAAAGTAAACCTCCCGCTGCTTGAAAGTAAACCTCCTAGTCTTTTTGATGGTGTCTCATTGCTTAGCAGCACATGCCCCCACCTCTTCCTGCCTGAGAAAACCCATAGCACAAGCAGGGCCCGATCCTAAAGGCAATGAGTACAGCTTCCAAATTTGCCTAGGGCAATATGTGGATAGCTGGTTATCACTTGGGGGAAGGAGGAGGGAAGAGGGAGCAAAGTACCCATGATAAGCCTGATCATCTGTCAAGTTTATCCTTGGTTCTTCAGCCACCCTGGCCAGAAACAAACCCACTGTGGGCTGCAGTTGTCATGTGAGCTCAGCCAATGAATGAGGAAAAGGTGCCATAGTTTTGTCAAGAGCTCCCTGGAAGCCATGGGCCTCCTAAGGGGTTCTTTGCCATTGTTGAAGTAGACAGTCAACTAGCTATGTGCCCTATCCAGGTAGTGACTTGACCATATCTATGACTGGATATCAATGCCACTAATTACCAGAGCACTAAAATACCGCTTAGTGCAAAAAAGCAAGTCAAGAACATCTCTTTTACAATATACATTGTGAGAGCTTTTTGGCTGACAAGGACCCTGGTGCTACAGACAAAGTAACCACAACATGAATAAGCGACATCAGTTATGAAAAAACACAGTATTTTACTGAACTAGGAAAATCATATTGCACAAGAAATCTTTGATGTAAAAACTATTCATAGGTGCAAAAAAGTTATGATACATCTTTTTATATATGGGTTTTTGACTTTACATATTATGAGGATCCACCATCTATTTTTTGGACAATTAAGGAAATATTAGATACTGCAGAAATGGAATCATTAATACAGATTCAAAACAGAATTGTTGATTCTTTAAATGAATGGACTCCTCGGTAAATAATGAACTGTATATAATTGTTTCATATATAAATGTATACATTTTTACATCTATAATGTAAAGATGATAATTTATATTTGTTGAGTAGTCTACTTGTATTTTGGTATTTAAATATTATACAATAGACCTCTTGTTTACCACCTAACATCTATATTTATACTAAGGGACATGTAAACTTTATAGCTACTATACAATATTGCATATAAATACATGTTAAATAAGATATTGAAATACTCACCATAACTTATCAGCAAAAGAACAAAAGGAAAATTTCTGAACAAGTTGATTACCGACTGCTTATAAGAGTAGTCATCTGGAGATACATCCACCAGTACAGCCTGAGATTGACTTGGAGGATATTTGGGTTTTTCCTTAAACACTAGAAAGGCAACACATACATCAATCCATTAACTGCTATTCAAACTGATTTAATAATTGTATTCTATAAATTCATATATTATTCAATGAGGAAATTAGGAGGCATGCCATATTTTCCCGAGATAGAGAGCATAGCTTTATATGGCCTTTCATTTGTTGCATATCATCAGCGTATTCAGTTACATTTCCCAGAAGCAGGAATCACTATGGCTGATCCATGAAGCGATGCATCTTACCATTTGAGTATGTTGCAATTGCTTACTCATCCCTCATATTTTTTGACGAGAGAGAGAGAGAGCAAGCAGCAAGCCCAGCAGCAACACAAGTGCTCTACTGTGTTTTCCCTGCTGTTCTGTTCATTCCCCCTTTCAGGTCCATTCTGTTCTTTTTGTTTTTTTCAGATTTTATCTGTTGAAGGGTTGCAATTTTTTCTTTTCATTCTATCAAAGATTTGTACTTTCCCCTGTTGAAACTGTTGCTTCAAACTTTCACTTATTAATTACTGTAACATTTGATCAGTTTCCCAGGGGCTCATCTCTGATTTCCTAACTTGGTTCTGCTGATTAACTTTTTACCACATTTTTATCAGCTGGCCCTTCTTTACTGTTTCCTTGACTGCTTTCTACTGCTCTTCAGCTACAACTTCTAATGTACATATACATTCCCTTTTACTCTACCTTTTTCCATGGTTTGAGTGTTGCAAAATGGGGTATCACCAAAATGCAGTTTGAAAACCAGTGAAAGAGAAGATGGCAAGATTACCAGTGCAAATACTTTTATTACCTTATCCAAGAACAAACCTCAAAATAATAGCACTCCATCACTACACAAACTGAACATGTTCATGCAGTTTTGTCCATTGCTATTCTAAGAGTTAAGCAAAAGTGTAAGTTAAGCAGCACTTTGTACCTGCAGATAATCCAATGAAGGAAAAAGTAGAGCAACTGCAACTGAGATGGCAATTCTCACAGCAGTGCAGTTTTGTAAGATAAGAGATTCTGCAGAAGCTTCAAAAATAGGCAAATATGTCTTTCACACAGAAAGATAAGGATGTACAATATACAATTGCTCTGTTACCATTTTAATTGCTATTCAAGTTAACCAAAAATTGTAGCTTGAAACAGCTTGTCAAAAATAGTTTCATGTGTGACCTAATCTATGATTCAGAATTCTCCAAGCATAAGGGTTATGAACTGTAATGTTTTAATGCTCTTTCAGCTTTGGCTGAAAATATGACAAGTAAGTTTACTTACCAAGTGCTGTTAATAAAAGTAGGAGTGTGGATACTGCTGCTGTGCCATAGAACATTATACGGATGTTATGTCCCATGAGTTCCAGGTCATCAACTGTATTTGGGACTAAAACCGGTGGCAATAAGAAGCCAATTGCTGTGCCTAACTGTAAAGAGAGGTGGGTGGGACAAGTTTTATATATTGAAAAATCATAGAAGCACTGTTTGAAAGCATTCCTTCATCAACCTGAAAGGGACCAGCTGCATATAGCTCTATTCCATGGATTTAAATGTGATCCACTTTTTGGGAGAAACTTTCTTATAACACTATTGTATATAAATATTTGTATCACCACTGATGCTTTCTGAATATTAAAACTGGGGGTTTGTGCTGAAATATAGTGACATCTCCATTTTAATAATACTGCAGTCTGTAGAACTCTACAACTAACCTTCCGAAGTCACAGATGTTCTGCATTTTCTCTCTTTCAGGAATCAGTGGAAGTGCATGATTTGATTACAGGCAAATCACAGATGCCTTTGGCCTTTAGCCTGAAAAACCTACAGGCACAACTGAAAGCTTTTAAGATAGTACGTCAATATTATTTCAAATTTTAACCACTCTTCCCTTTCTTGTATTCTGTTTTTGTGTTATATACAACAAGTCTTCAAGATGGGGTCATGGTTATACTGCAAGCATTACTAGGTTGTCCCCACTGGAATACTGGCCAGAGTAAGAAATATTGCCAACCTTAGCTTTAAAAAACTATACACTTTGTGGAGAAATTTAATAATTTACAGTATCACCCGGCTATGGCTAGATGAGATTAGAGGTTCCTTCCAACTGTTTGAAGCTATTGTTCAGCTTCAAATATCCTTGCTGTCTCTACTTAAGGCTGCTTTAAGTACCACTGCAGACACAAGTTTGCTGTTATCAACCTGCAACTAACTTTAAAATATCCAAGAAAAACTATTAGGTTTCCCCTACAACCATGAATATTCTTGTCATTGCCACATACATCTTGCATTCCTCACAAACATGTTTTCTTCTCATGCCATGACACAAGCAAACAACTTGCACTCTTCTTCTCCTCACCTGGTTGCCCAGAACAGCTACAGCACAAGCAGTGGACACTTCCTTGGGCCCAAACCAGACAGAGGCAATGTGTGAGGGCAGCCCCAAAATAAAGACTTGGGCTACAGAGCACACAATCTGAGCCACCAGTGTGACAGGATACAGGTTTCGCTGGACGCTGGCACACTTAATCCAAGCACCCAGGCAGTTGAGTCCACATCCCAGCAAGGCAGTGAGGCGGAGGCCGTAAGTGTCCAGCAGCCAAGTGGCAGGAAGGATAAGGGGAACGTACACCACCATATATGCCATGGAGAGCCAGTCGATTTGAGCATTGGAGACATCATAGTAATGCGTAAAGATACTGGTCAATATGCTGTACTGGATCCACTGGAAGGCGTTCACCAGCGAGTACAAGCTGAAGACAGCCAGGACCACCAGCCTGCGCTTGGAGAGCCGAGGGGTCAGCTTCACTCCAGACGTAGCCGAGGACAGCATGGCCTCTCCCTCAGGATGCTCCTGAGCAGCGTCGCCTTTCCCAAGCTCCACATCACTCTCAGTGACCAAAGGAGTGCAGCTGCTGCTGCGCTCAGCCTCGCCGCCCGGGAGGCAGCCGTTCTGCTGGAGGGGAGGCGCTGGAGCGACCCCCATGATCTGACCCCCCTCTTCCTCCTCACCAGCTTCTCCCTGCTCTGCCGTATCACCGCCTTCCCCACCCATCCTCACGCTTGGGCCACGCACTCCCCTTCAAACGGGCATCACCCCTAAGCCAGGTGCCTCTGCTGGGGGCCTCCTTTCTCCCCTCTTCTCCCGGTCCCACTATGGCTCTCCCCACACAAGGAGCCCCCCTCAATCACACATCCCCCTCCCCCAACTCCCGCCCCCTGCCCCCCTCCCCCCCCCCGGCCCCCCCCCTCCCCCCCCCCCCCACCAGCAGCCTGCTCACACACCTGCCCCGCTGCCCTTCCCCACGCTGCCCTGGCTTCCCCTGCCGGGCTCTTCCCAGCCCGCCCGCCCACCCACCGAGGCCGCCCTCCTACCACGCGCCCATTCCCCGCAGCAGCAGCAGCAGCCCCGCACCCGCCGCGCCCCTGCCTCCCGTCCCTCCACGCATCCACGGGCGGCCCGCGCTCCAAACAGGACACTGGACAAGCAAGCAACGGCTCCAGAACGTGCCTCGCCGGGGGGGAAAAAAAAAAATCACTCGCTACCGGCTTCCGCATGCGCAGCTCGCTCGACCGATGCTCGGGCTCGGCTCTCCGCCAATGAGGGAGTGCATATGGAGCAGCAGTCTCAACCTCGGCCAATCAAGGAGGAGAGCGCGCGCCAGTCCATCCCCGGCGCCGCCACTCGGCCCACTAACGGCTCAGCGCCGATCCGCAAGCTTGGCTGCTCCGGTGTTGCCGGCGGGCACGTGTTGCGGCGCGGCGGCGGCGCCGGTTGACTCCGAGCCCCGGGAATTGCTTTGATTTTCACCGTGCTCTCCCGCAGCAGGCCTGTCGCCCCGGGGAAGATGTGCTTTGCATGCTTCTCATCCTGGTGCTCAGCTCGCGTCCTGTATCCTCTCCGGGTCTTGGGTCCATGCGAGGCTGATGAAATAAACTAAAGGCCTCTTGAGTCGTTTCTGGGGAAACAGTGGAGATGATGTGGATTTATTGTTTTTTCTTAGCATTTCCTTAGGGACATTTTGTTTTGTAATTAGAGACAATTGACTTTGAATACGAGTTCCTGAGTCGCCATAGTATTTCTAAAATCAATTATTATTACTGCAAACAGAAGCACATCCATTCCCTTCTCCAACCTGGCACCCCCACACATGTATAGGACTACAACACCCATCACCCCCAGCCAGGGGAGAAGGGAAAGCCTAATTGTTGCCCATCTGTGCCTGGGTCCAAATTCTGTTCTCTTCCCCAAAGTTGCTATTCACCAGAGAATGCAATAGATGCAAAGTTTTTTCTATTAAGGGGAAGTAGAAAGAGAAAGAAGAAAGTAAGGGAGGTCTTGGGACTTTCCAACACAAGAGGCATTCAAGATGGAACTGGACAGGGTAGGTTTAATTGGGAGTCCTGCACTGTGCTGGAGGTTATACCCAATGGCCTTCTGGCCCCTTTCAGCTCTGCTGTTCCATGACTCCAAAAATGGTGTCACCCTGCCCAGAGCAGGCCCTTCCCTCCTTGAAGCAGCTCTTTGTAGCAGAGGGGAAAACATGCAAGGAGAGTGGCCATATGTTTACCCTTCTACAGCTTGGGGCCAATTCAGATCTGCCACTGTGCAGGGAGGGGAAAGGAAAGGTCTGATGCATCGGAGAGGGATGGGCCTCAGAGGCTAAGCAAACAGTGGCACAATCTTGGGGCAAAGGTCCAGGGCCTCAGTAGAATGAGCAGGAGGTCCTTAAGTGTGGCAGGGCTAGCTTGCAAGTGATAGCCATTACCATCTCAGGGGCACCCTCCTAGTAGAGCTGCTAAATCCAGAGTGGCCCTCCCAAATGCAGCAGAGTTGGCTTATCTCAGGGGGAAATGGTGGAGGCTTAGCCCGTTCCGAACCTAAAATTACCCTAACCTTAAAAGAAGAAGTGATGCATTTGGGTAACTTTCCAGGAGTTCACGTTCAGTTTGTCCCCAGTATGAAGCTGGCTAGTGTGACCACTGGCTGGTCCCTACCTCACAGCATGTTATGAGGATTATATTGTTATGAGAGCCCATGTGGTGTAGTGGTTAAGAACGCAAGACTGCAACTCAGGAGATCTGGGTTCTTCTCCACACTCAGCCATGTAGGTCAGTGGGTGACTTTGGGTCAGCCTTAGTCTCTCAGCCCAACCTATCTCACAGGGTTGTTGTGGGAATGAGAGTGAGCACAAGAGAATGATATAAACCCCTTTGAGTTCTTTAAAAAGAAAAGGCCTGGATAGAAATCAAATAGAAATGGGCAATGTAGAAATAATTTAGAAAAAGACCAATTAAATCCCAAAACCTGTATGTGGAGCTGTCTCTTGCTCCTTCAAAACCCACCTTTCCCTTGCCACTCTTGGTCCATGCATGCCTACAGATGAAGCAGTCTTTGTTCTTTTTTCTTTTTTGTTTACACAATTGACAGTGGGGGCTGTGTCCAGATAATGTGGGCATCCACTTTGCCTTCCTGTGTTTTCCTACTGTTTTTTCATATTTTCTCTTTCATGATGGAAGAAAAGATGGAGCAGCTGCCCAGTATCTTCTGCTTTCTCTGTCTGGGCATGCCCTTAGCCCTCACTCTAGGCAGAAATTAAAAATGACCCTAGGTACACTGACCTCGAAGTAAATCCCATTGAATTGAGGACCTCAGTGATATGGACAGCGGGCACAAAGCAGGCCAGAGAAAACAAACTATACGAACCCTCCAGATGCATCAGAAATCTCTTATTTGCTTCTGGCAACTGTGCTGCTGAAGCAACTTGCTGTGCCAAGGCATAGAGTTATGCTCAGCACACCCTCTTCCGTTGTCAAGTGAAAACAACAAATAATTAAGTTATATTAAACAATGGACATGTTGCAGATGCTTCCAGGTGGCTATTTCCTAACGCTACCAATCAGAAGATACCGTAGAATCATTCTGTCTTCCTCTCTTTAATAGATTTTCTGTGGCAAGAAAAAAGACAAGATGTGACAGAAAAACACAGGAGAATTACAAATGGCAATAGCATCATCTGGACCCCCTGCAAAACTCCATAGTTGGATGATTACACAGTAAAGGCCCTGACTAAAAGCACTCAGAGTGAACATTCAAATTACACAAAACATATTGTGTAATTGTAGCCTTTTGAATTATAGGAATACCTCCATCTTCAGCATAATTTGGAATGTCAAGATTCACTGGAAGCCATAGAAAAGAAAAATATTGCCAAAATTAGGTATTGTTTTGTTTGAGGAAAGAAACTTCCTCCAATTTGGGCCCTGGTATGCTGAAAATGTAAAACAGGCAGCTGTCTCCCCCTGCTCTCTCACAGCATAGCGCTACTCAAAAAGTACAAACAAGGCTCTAACTAGAAATACAGGAACCTGTGATCATGAAGGGGTATCCTGCCATTATAATCAAAGCCCTCAATGGTAGCAATTCTTATTTTATGTAGATTCAGTTACAATCATTGGCTACACCTCTGTACACCATTATCTTCTGTGGTCAGCAATGACTGGGACAAGCTTCTTCATGTCTGGCATTAAAGTGCTAGCCTTCACTCTGGTATTTAATCACTAAGATGGTTAAATGTGTATTGGAAAACTGGGTGCCTTTCCCCCAGTTAGCAAAAGTTTAATTTCCCGGTTTTTAAGCAGTTTCCCCCACATTCAAATGTCTCTGTTATGGCTTAGTCCATAGGCAACATTTTAACATGTATGTACTGGCAATTACATCATACAGTATCCGAAAGTCCCCTTTCTCATTGGAAAGTACTTTGAATTTTCCTTTTTCTAAAACAGAGATAATGGTTTTGTACTGGAAGTTCAGCAGAAACATTGGTCTATATGAAGAGTTTCTAGGAAGTTTTTTTTAATTAGCTGTAGATATTACTAGTAACTTAGCCTTATAATTTTGGCAGTTCATTTGTATACATATTAGTTAACAACTTCTACTAAGGGTAGAACTATAATTTTCTTTTTATGGAGTGATGGTGTATTGTTTTAAATTGTTCACTGCCTTGGTGGTTTTCTTTTCTTTTTTTAGCAGGTAAGTTACTATTTAAATGTTGATAGTATATAAATACATTCAGGAAATAGGGCCTTTAAAGGTTTTGTGAGAACATTCATTCTTCTTCTATTGCTTTGTGTTATGTTCAGAGGAACTTCACTGTCTTATTTCCCGGATTTGAGGCCTTGCCAAAAAAAGAGAGAGGAATTTCTCAGCTGGCAATTTATTAAGGGCAGAATCCTATGCAA